TGTGTGTGTGTTGTTCCTTTTCGGGAACACCGATCTCAACCCGGACCTTGAGATCCGAGCGCTGCACTTCCGGCAGGGTGTGCTCGTGCAACTGATGCGGCCAGGCGAGTCGAATCGTGGCGCCCGCGAGGTGAAGATGGTCGTTGGGGAAGGGGAGTTTTTGTAAAGATGCCCCATCAAAAGGGCGAATCTGGAGAGCGATCCAATGCGGGCCCAAACAATTGATTCTCACAAGAATTGTGTGGTTGTGTTCTACTGATTATTAAAATCAACTTAGGGACCTGGCAACTGGCCGTCTGTCTCAACAAGCCCAAAGTTCAGGGCTCATCCCTGCATATCTGGGGGTTCAAGGGATTTGGGGTCTCAAAAGCAGGGCATGTTCTACCCTGCCTTGCAGATGCAGAAAAAATAACTGGCCTTTCTGAAGCCGTGCGCTGAGCGTCGTTTGCACTGTTGAGTTCAAATGGTGTAAAGCCCCAAGACATCCCAACGGCCCGTTGGCCCAAGGAAACGGGTCCAAAGGTCAGTCACATGACGCCCCTAGCTTCCTACGGTGTCCAAACGAGGAGAAACGTCTCACTCGCGACCAGTGACAGAAACAACCCTTGCCCTCGGATGAGCAACCTGGTGATAGGCGGACTCAGTGAGCAACCTGCCAGAACAGCCACACGTGTCTCTGTGCCAAAGTCTTTGAGACTTCGATGTTTTGGTTGTCCTGCCAAATACGAAGTGAGCAAAAATGTCTTCCAAAGCATCAAGCGGCATGGCCCGATTTGTCGGGTTTGGCGTTTCACCGCACCCCGCTGGAGTTCTTGTTTCAAAGTTGTGGGACCACCAAGTGGACTCCTAGCTAGGTCTCCACATTTCTCAGCAGAAACCAATGCCACGCAGCACGACCAACTTGGCTGGAAATGAAAGCCAAGGAAATGAAGTGGTCCATTTCGCACAGAACTTCTGGGCCCAAAGAGCTCATCGTCACACTTCACCCCCGCCTGAAGCAGTGTCCCGCGCGCGTTCGGCCAGCGCGGCCGCAGCGCTGACCTCTGAGAGGGTGGCTGGGCTGTAGATTTAGTGAGTGCTCCAAACACATCTCGACTTGACAACCATGTTCCTCTATGATGTTGACCCACAGCAACAAGGACATGGAAGTGGCAAAGTGAACTGGAGGATGACATTTTCCTCAAACTGGCGGATCCAGCTTTGTTAATTCCAATGATGAAACTTCATAACTCCTGGAAAAATAATGATGTATAACTGTATAAGTTCTGTAGTGTTCCCTACCAACATGTGTTTCGTCACTTCCGTATGTTCTTCGTCGGCTTCATGGGAGTGTATCGTATCGTTCGGCATCGTTTGGCCTGAGAGATACTTGGCTTCATGGAAACTGAAGACATCAAGATCCGTGCTCCAAAACCAACTGGACAACCCTGTGATTTTTTAGATTGATCTTATATGTTTGATCTCGGTACCACAAAAATGTGAGTTCATTCCTACATCCACCTATTTCCCAACCTCTTCCGTTGGCCTCGAGGCGAGAGTCGACTCTTTCCTTCTGTTTTGAACGTAGAGGAGTTGACGCTTCATGTGAAAACCTGTTCAGGATGGCCCAGCAGTTTTTGGGGTCTTTCCAGACCTGGCCCTGCGTTTCCGAACTCGTCCAGCTCCGGCCGCCCCTTCTTCGACCAGGGGGCGAGCCGAGCCCTTGGAGCAGGCGGTGATGTTGAGGTAGGAGGTGCCGTTGAAGGGGCAAAAGGCATCCAACCTCAGGCAAACGCGGTGTTTGGTTGGGAGGGGTTGCGCCATAGGAGGGAGTGGGACACGTGTTTGAGAAGTAGGGGAACTACAGGAGATCTGCCACAAGAAAGGGATACTTCAGAAAAAGAAGAGGGGGGGGCTAACACTTAGGCTATATAACAATCTTTGGACTTAAATTTGCGGGTGCCAACTTCGTCTGCAGACCGCAGACCCACCAAAAAGCGCGGGTCTGTCAACACAAGCAATTTGGTGGGTCAACTGAAATGGGTCGACACAAGCGAATACGCCACTCTCTCCGATCCATCTCGAAGCTTAAGCGGAACGACGGCAACGAAGCTTAAGCCTCAAGATGGTGCTCGCCATGACTCTGAAGAACCGGAAAATTCGTGCAGCACCATCGATTCCTCCCAAACAGGCCCTCGACTTCGTGAGCTTGGTGATGCTTTAGGGTCGAAAATGCTGAAACCAACAAATTCCAGCTGGTCTTCAAGGTCTTCATGGACCCAAAGAATCCAGTTTACAGTCATTGACCTCCAAATCCGTTTCAAAACCAAAGAGCCGAGCTCCTTCAGGTGACCCAGCGCCGGACGGAGCTCCTTCAGGTCCTCCCCGGACGGAGGCTCCTAAACCGCGCACGCGTTGTTCTCTCGTCAAGGCACTTCACCAGGCAGCTGTCCACCACGTAAACAATGCCATCGATGGTGACCTGGTGGACCGGTCCAGCTTGAGCAGAAGGCAGGTTCCCCAGCAGGACACCACGGCGGTTCAGTGGAATGATGGAATTCCTCTGAAAACCTTGGTTGTGGGTCCTCTGGTGCCCTGAAAAAATCACCCGATGTTCTTCCAACTCGACACGTGCCGCGCTGAAAGCGCGATGACCCGGAAGAACCAGCGCTCTTCTTCCTGCTTGTTTCCTGATGCATCCGTTTTTTTGCGCTTGACTTCTTTTGGGCCGTGGAGCCCAAGAGTGAGTCCGCCGAGGCTTCCGGTCCCCCGGGCCCCGAGCGGCCGAGGCTTCTGAGCGGCCGAGGCTTCCGCCAGGTTCGTGGCCACCACCACCTTCCGGTTGCCCCGCGCTGGCGTCACAAAGGCCTGACGAACAGCGCGGGACGAACAGAAGAAAGTGGGGAACATGGAAAACCAAAGGAGTGGGGGGTTTTGCTAGAAGACCCATGGTCGTCCTTTTTACGTTCATATCAATATCCGTAAACTTGAGCGTGGCTTACCCTCCCAAAATGCCCCCCCTTTTTTCGCACGTCCCGTGAGATCACGGGGACTGTAAATCACCAGCTCCCGCTCTCGTTGGCCTTGAGCTGCTGCTCCTTTGGCAGCGTGCCGTGCAAAGGCACCTTGGCACAGACCCCGCGACCCAACGGATCGATCAGCGGCTGAGTGCTGGATTTCAGACACGAGCTCTCTTTCTGTTGACCCGAAGATGAGAAACTGCTTAAACACCCCAATGGCCTCTCCAGTGGACCATCCCACTTACAAGGGAGTGGGGGTGTTGGTAGCCCCCACAGTCCTGCAATCCGATTTGGACAGACCAAGAGCCCAACAGATCCCTCCTCAGCTGCCCAACAGCCCAACACTCTCCTTGGTGATACGTCCGGATCTTTCTGTCGTCTGATCTTATCCATCAAATACCTGGAGTGGCGGAGTCGCCTGATTGGTTTCAATGTTTTTGCGAATATGCCATAGCGAGAAAAGAAACATGGTCAAAGTTCAGCTTTACCCGTAATGACCAGAAAAATGATCAAACCATGTTAAACCACCTTTCCACCATTTTCCATCAGACGACAGGCACATAGATGTCACGCCTGGGTTCCATGCAGAGATGTCAATCAAGATCAGATCATTAGATAAATATTGGAGGGTCTGGATGCACAGTTGTGTTCATTTGCGACCATCCGAATAGATATGCTTGGAACAGTTGATACAGTCATATACAGTCATACATGTTTGCCTTGCGATGCGGTCCACCGGGCTACGCATGGGCTACGCATGGGCTACCAATTGGGCTATTCCTGTCCATATCAATGCATGCCACCAACTCAATGGTCAGTCTTGCAAAAGGTGGAAGCAGGAAGCTCCTGAGCGGGTTTATGCTGCTCTTGCCACTTTCCACATCATTGAGGCGAACCAAATCAAGCCCCGCTCCAATCGCTGGACCGGTGCGCCACTTGAAGCGGCTTTGGCTTCAAGGAAGGCCTCTCTGCCATCTCGCGTGCCTGATCCACACCCAAGTGGCACACGACGGCCCCACATACATTTGGGTCAAGACTTAACACTCCCAGACCTGGTAAGTTCATGGCCGATGCGCGTTGATGGCCGGGTGCCCATGCCAATGTATTCTCCCAGATTGGCCCCTTCAGAAGAACAACAGTCAAACAACACTGTTGTAGATGAATGTGAAACCACCCTCTTCAAAAAGCTTGACGAGTAGAACCTTTGGAGATCTACATATGCCATAGAGCGATCAAAACAATGCTGCATGTATCCGCACTCAAAAATGATCTACATGCCACCATGGGGTAGCGGGTAGCACAGCTTGCGGAAAAAGAATACGCGTCAGTCAGCACGCACTTCCAGCCCAACCACCACTGCCAAAACGATGGTTTTCTCTGGTCAACCCAGGGTATCGTTTCAATCAGTCTATTCTCCGTCTATTGACGTCGTTGGGTCCGAACAACATGCACCACCACTCGGAACCACCGCACGGTTCCGCGAACGGACCCGCTGCATGCGCTCAATGATGAGAGAGCATGCCACGTCGATCTCCTGCACCGGTCCACCACTCTAACGGGCAATCCGGAAGGAAATGATGCGAACTCCGAACAGTGGAAATCTGTGCACCGAACATGCACGAAGAAGACCGGTCTTCCGATCGCATGGATGGCCATGGCGTGGATCGCCCCAATCCGGCGGGTCTCCTCTCGTCCAGTTAAGAAAACCAGGATGTCGCCCTCTGGAAGGCTGCGATGGATGTTCATCACCTTTGAATGGATCCAAGTGGCTTATGGAGAACTACTGTAGCTGCTGGGCTGGCTGAACACAGGTGGGCTCCAAGAAACGGGTCGTTGAAAGGGGGACAGGTGGCCATCTCAGAAACTTGACTTCAGTTTGATGACTTCAAGTGAATATACGGCTGGAATCTGCTGGTTGTCATGGACGCGTCTATCGAAAAAAGAATGGAACTCGACGCCGGCACCGCACCAGATTCACCGCTGCTTCCACATAGTCGCCCGTGGGCTCGTCCAAATAGTGCACCTCGCAGATGGGGGCGGAGATCGGCACCCATTGAGCGCTTGGGGAACAAGAAGCTACTAGGAGCAAAGGGCATCGCTACTAGTAGCAAGGACGCTACGAACGGGGCTCCTGGCCTTACTACTAGGAACAAGAAGCTACTAGGAATTGAAGCCTCCCGACGTCGTCGTCACCGGTGGTTCCCACTCTCCTCGCCTGGACATCATGAAGTCGGCCTGGACCGTTGCACCGCAAACACGTCGTTTCATCGGGTGCCCGTCGTTTCCCAGACGTCTTCGACCGGAAAAAGAACGAGCTTTTAAAGCATCCGTTTCACCAACTTGAAGAGCTCTGAGACGTCGCCGGCAGCGGTGCCTAGCGGTGCCTTTAGGAAGAGTGCCTTTAGGAAGGGCTGTGGTTCAAAAGCTGTCGTTGAAAAACAGGTAACATCCCAAAGTAAACAGAATCCTCTACCAGATCACTCCCGGCTTTAGCTGGTTGCTGTTTATTCAGACCTAAAGAATAGTTTGCTGCAGCATGCTACCCATGAGAATCAAGTCTCCAGCCTTCCACTTCGAGTAGGCAGCAGTCCCTCTCTGGGACACCTCCACGCCCGCCGCCACTAAGGTCAACGCAAAGCCTGACAGGCGGTGTTTATCTCCAAAAGCCTTTTCTGACTGGAAACAAAGGATCATGCAAACTTTTTGGGCGCGCCCGTGCACCAGCACCGGAACACCACCGCCAAGGCATTCTGAACACGTATCTTGAAAGCTTGAAACCTTGAAAACATCAACCACCAAAATCTTCGGTCAACGCACTCCTGCCATGAAAGTGGCTCGAACACTAAGTCTCAAAGATCAACCCAGTTTCCTCAAAGGAAGACTACGTCAACCTAAGCCAACTCCACCGAGCTACGTATTCCTACTGTTCAAGGAAAAGCTTCCGTTCCCCATCTGAATTGCAAAAAAACACTTTGCATGTGGTATATTCATTGATCAAACAAGGCCCCCAACCACGCGAGTCACACCCAAAAAACATCCCAAAAAGGCCCCACCCCCTGCAGAAAAAGAGCTCCTGCTGCCGCACCTGCGCCAATCGGCCTCTTCACTGCGCCGCTGCAACGTCTCACCCGTCTCATCGTCCCAGCCGCGCAAGCGCGGACGCTTGGGCGGTGGTGCTGGCCAGCAAGGACATTTCTGAATTCTGTGATCCCAAAAACTATGCATTCCAATAACTCCTCTTACACCAAACTGGTTCCATAAGGCGCGTAAGGCGTGTAAGGCGGCCCAGCGGGAATCGGCCTGCGCCCGTGCGGCCTTTCCGCGCCAGGAAGCTCCTGGCGGTTGACCGGCAGACCGGCAGTGTTTCACGTGGACATTGGAAGCAGTCACGAAGCTGGAGAAGAAAAGTCTGTGTCCTCTTCAGGAGGTTCCTCTAACAGGATTGTGTTTCATGTTGTCGAGCCTATGCGAGCAGTTTCTGCGGTGGCACGCAGCAAGCCCTTCTCACGGGGCCAATTCTGTGCGGCTTCGCACAAATTGAGGAGGCATCTCTTTCTGGATTCGTTTATCCAAAAGAAGAGTGCCCGACGCAGCTTCAGAGCCTCATCTTTTTCATGAACCAATGGTCTGAGTGTTTCCTAACTCCCCTTCCTTCCCAACCCTCCAATCCGAACACCGTCGTGTTCACCAGGCTGCCCGGCAGGAAGGCGCCCGCGTCCAACGTTGCAGAGGCCACCACGAGCCGCAACCGGGGGCGCTTCCGGCAGATCTTCTTCAGCCTCTGAAGGGACTCGGCCGACCGCCATGGGACTCCGTGAAAATCGATCATGTTTTGCTGCCTTTTGGGAGGAGCGTTAGTACTTCCGGGGAGAGAAAGCGGTTGGGAGGAAACATGAAAACCCATTCACGTTCCTGTGAAAGACAAGCCATTCGTTATTTATACTAAAATGCAATTGTGTGGTCAAAAAGTTGGCCTTCAAGCACTGTTCATGCTTGCTGGACCCTTCTTCGATGATCCCAAACTCGCAAGTGCAATGCTTGCAAGATCATCTCAGGTTGGAATTCGAAGACGATCTTCCCGCAGTCTCAGGATGTCTCAGGTGTCTCCTGTTACACCGGCGTCCAACTTGCCAACTAGGTCTCAGTAGGGAGACCTCTCAGGTTTTTCCAAGAATGAAAATAGACCCGTCTAGCCAAGGGCTGGCCATTTAAAATGACCCATTGACTCCTTTTTCGGATCCAGGCTACAAGCCGAGCAAGAGGTCTGTGTTGGCGCTCCTCTCATGAGCTTCATCCACGACGATCACGCCTAGGCGGGCTGAAGAGCTCAGCAGCTTCTGGTGGAGGTTTGCCAAAGGATCTTTGCCGGTGGATAGGACTTTGATGCGAGACGGAAGCCTTTCTTACAAGTAAGATCAAGTAAGAAACGACTATATGGAACAGACAATTCACGTCAATTCCAAGAGCGAGCTTTGAGAAATCTTGACATGATCCAGCTGTGTTTGGCCCTGGACCCACCTGCAACACATTGTCTCCACCCGCAAAACGTAACCCAATCCGGCCCCGTGGCTGAAGCGTGTGAGCAATGGATCGCTCAGCATCTCTCGGAGGAGGATGCCCTCCGTGACAAACTCGATGCGAGTGACACCAGGAGTCACGTGGCTCTCAAAACCTTCCAGGAGTCACTCGAGCGATCACTGTGGGGTCATTGACCAGGTCATCCACAGACCGGGTGCCTGACCTGGGAAGATCCACCAATAAAGTTGGGCATTTCTCGTCGCCGCATTCTCTATTGTGGAGAGTCAACAGAGTCAACCTCTTTCCATCCTTGCTTCCTGGATCAAGTGGCCTTCTGGCCGTATATGGTCGAAGTCACAGGGTTTGCCGGGTAAAGTGTGAAGATCCCCATGTTTTTCCTCTACTTGGTGCTGCTTTGACTTCACGGTGGTGAGGGGGAGGATATTTGATCTGGAACCCGAAAGGAACCAACGCCAGAGATCTTAGCCACACCCAAACCCACACCAAGCTCAAGCCTTTTCTGTAGAGGGAGGGAGGGAGGGAGAGAGGGAGAGAGAGTCATTGTCAGAGAGCTTGATCAGGCAGCTACCAAGCACATCTCCAGCCCATGAAAACTTTAAAGAAATCGGCAAGCAGTTATATACTGTGATTGGCTTACGAAAACAGTGAACTTGCTCAAGTCTAAAGCTCGGAACTTCTTCTGAAAAAGATGTGAATGAAAAAGATGCCTCCTTTGCCCAAACTGAGAACTGAGGAAGAAAAAAAGACACAAAGATGCCTCCATCGCCTCATCTTGCTACCATCTGATCCTTCCATCCCTTTCTTTCTCCCCGGCCAAGGCACGAATCCGATAGCCCACCTCCCAGCCCAGCTGGGCGCCCATCTCCACCGCCACACGCGAGGCCACCGTCACCGCGGCCAGGCGCCGCGGCAGCGTCACGCAGACCACGTAGCCTGCGGAGAGGAGTCACGCGGTGGGCATCGCTCGACATTGGCATTGCTTGGCACCTCCCCCTTGGACAAAAACAAGTCTTGTTTTCTCCTGAAAACAAGAAACAACCCCAAAGAAGCAGCATTTCCTCACAGCCTCCAGGATTTAGACTCAACATGACTCAACCCACCAACGCTGAAAATCTCTGCCTGCCTTTGGCGGTCCAGCCGGCATCATCCAGGTACTGGGGCAGCTGGGTGGATTTCCCACAGCCGGTGGCCCCACACAAGACCACGGCCCGATGGGTCTCAACCTAGGTCAAAGCAGCAACGCATGCGTCTACCCCGTCTCAACGGTTCAAACAAATGGATGCATGGATATGTTCAAGCAAATGGATGGCCTTCTTTTCTTTGGCTCGATGGTCAAGAAAAGTCCGGAAGCAAATGGAAACGAAGCAAGCCACCTGTTGAGACAATCATACTTGGAAAGCTTACTGAAGACCATCAGGAATAATGAAACATGGAAATTGCGTTGCCTCCTCTGTCACAACCTTGCATTCTCATAGGGCACCCATATGTTGTTGCACAAATTGTTCATTTGTGCGGTCTGTTCTGGTTCAGAGCTTTTTGTGGATGTCAGGTCTATACTTGGAAGCCAAGTCGCGGCATGTAGGATCGCGAGGCGGTGCTTATAGATCGGCAGCCGCTTGCGCTGCTGCTCCACCTTCACGGCCCATGTAGAGGATCGGACTTTTTCAAGACAAAGTCATTTCAACTAATGTATTGTATCACACTTGCACGCAAAACTCCCCCCGTATTGTGTCCCTTTTCTTAGTTCTGGTCACCAAGCTATGTGAGGCAGATTCTTCGGGTAGAGTTGATTTCTGGGGGAATGAAGCATCCCCCTGGACCATTCGTTAATGGAAGCCCAAACAACCTCGCTCGACGTAGGGTGCCGCCCCTTGGGTACTCCTCCAGGCCGGCACCCATGTGGTTGATAAAAAGGGCTGGCGGCTGGACTGCAAGCAACTCCATGCAGGCACCAGAGACACAGGACCCCAAGGACCCCACGACAGGCACATTGAAGAAAGAAAACGGGTTAGGACGGTTAGGACCTCAGATTCATGAGACACCATACCATCTCATCACCTGTCGGCTCCTGTCAACACAAATCAAGCAATGCCGCCAGTAAAATAAAACATCTCAGATGTTCATGATGATTCATGATACCTGCTTTAGATGAAAGCATGAGATTCCATAGTGGCCAATTCCCTCGATTTGGGTTTTTGGGCTTTTCACCTGCTTTGTTTTCTCTCTCTCTCTCTCTCTCCCCTCCCTCTCTCTCTCTCTCTCTCTCCCCTTGAAGAGGCACGCATCAAAAAAGGAAACGAGGGTGAAGCCGCATCACTAGCATCACTCTTAAAAGGAATGGTACAAGTACTACTTGTTCACTCTTCCGTCTGACAGGGGGTCCTCTCCTTGATGCTGGCCGGAGGCCTACTGTGTGAAACATCAGTCTCGCAGACTTTGGGGTGCTGGCGGGCAGGCGATCAGATGGATTGAAGACAGGCAGGGCCTCAGTACGCACCGACGGCCAAATCCGTTGGGATTTGCAAATACCTTGCCCAATGCAAAAGATTGCTAAAAACACCACCAGAGGTCACGGAAGCTAAAGGAAGGACCGCTTGTGATCACGACCCCTGACGATCAAAGCCAGCATCTTCCCAGCATTAAAGAAAAAAGATCTTCGTCCTTCCATGTTGATTTGCAGGCTGTAACCAACACTAAAAACAACAAGACCAAAACAAAATATGTACTCCTCAACACACAACAAAAGCACCGACACCACCTATGACTTCTCGGGAGTAGACGGGCTCTAATTCATTGATCAACTCAGCGGTTATCCAATCAATGTCGGGCGATGTGGAAGTGATGGCAACCTTTTGCAGCTCGTGGTATTCGCCATCCATCGCGATGACAAGTTGCTAATGCAGAGCATCATCCCGCATCAGAAGCACTCGATATATAACTATACCATAACTACTTTGCCCAGGTCCTGGCAGTCAAAACTAGTTTTTTTGACTTCTCCAAATGGCTATGGCTCAGAAATGGGTGCTATATGTCCACATGCAAGCAGCTCTTTTCCAGGCTGGAAAAATCACGACATGGAGCCGAACGGCGCTTTTTGAGCGTCCTTGCTCCTAATAGCGATGCCCTCCCCCTAGTAGCGCCCTTGCTCCTAGTAGCGCTCCCCTTACTCCTCTTAATTTCATTGCTAGTCGCTTCCCTTGGTCTTAGCACCTGGCACGATGCTTTTCCGCATCACAGTCCAGCTCCTGACTCAGTTCGAAGCGGTCACACAACGAGTGGATGGACACCTCGTCTACAGGTCTCACCGAGTCTCACCTGTCTCACTCGTCGACTCTTTTCCCACAACATGCGGATGCATTGCAAAACCTAGACCCATAACGACCCGAATTCCAAACCACCCGGCCCATGGCTCGGCATGAGCAGGAAGAGGCCTGGGAAGCGGCGTCTCTGCTCTTTG